CTCCTCAGCCACATAATGCCAGGGTATATCTGGTGGTCTGTCTCCTCATGGCTCAGCCACATAATGCCAGGGTATATCTGGTGGTCTGTCTCCTCAGCCCCATAATGCCAGGGTATATCTGGTGGTCTGTCTCCTCAGCTACATAATGCCAGGGTATATCTGGTGGTCTGTCTCCTCAGCCACATAATGCCAGGGTATATCTGGTGGTCTGTCTCCTCAGCCACATAATGCCAGGGTATATCTGGTGGTCTGTCTCCGCAGCTACATAATGCCAGGGTATATCTGGTGGTCTGTCTCCTCAGCCACATAATGCCAGGGTATATCTGGTGGTCTGTCTCCTCAGCTACATAATGCCAGGGTATATCTGGTGGTCTGTCTCCTCAGCTACATAATGCCAGGGTATATCTGGTGGTCTGTCTCCTCAGCTACATAATGCCAGGGTATATCTGGTGGTCTGTCTCCTCATGGCTCAGCCACATAATGCCAGGGTATATCTGGTGGTCTGTCTCCTCAGCCACATAATGCCAGGGTATATCTGGTGGTCTGTCTCCTCAGCCACATAATGCCAGGGTATATCTGGTGGTCTGTCTCCTCAGCCACATAATGCCAGGGTATATCTGGTGGTCTGTCTCCTCAGCCACATAATGCCAGGGTATATCTGGTGGTCTGTCTCCTCAGCTACATAATGCCAGGGTATATCTGGTGGTCGTCTCCTCAGCCACATAATGCCAGGGTATATCTGGTGGTCTGTCTCCTCAGCCACATAATGCCAGGGTATATCTGGTGGTCTGTCTCCTCAGCCACATAATGCCAGGGTATATCTGGTGGTCTGTCTCCTCAGCTACATAATGCCAGGGTATATCTGGTGGTCTGTCTCCTCAGCTACATAATGCCAGGGTATATCTGGTGGTCTGTCTCCTCAGCCACATAATGCCAGGGTATATCTGGTGGTCTGTCTCCTCAGCCACATAATGCCAGGGTATATCTGGTGTGCTGTCTGGAATAAGAGCAAGCGTATATCGTGGTAGAAAGGACAATAGAGGATAAAATGAGTTTCATTCTCTATTTCTTCCAGGTCAACATAGTTACATAGTCTTTCCTCTTCCATTTCACCACAATACCAACTTGTTTCAATACGCAGAGGCAATATCCCTGATCTTACCTGCGCACATAGCGATCTCCTGCTTTTAGGTAGGTTGTACATAATATATCTCTCACACAAGTGTATTTATTCTCCCACTTGGCCAAGGCTTTCGACTCTGTCAACCACCGAATTCTTATTGGCAGACTAAATAGCCTTGGTTTCTCAAATGACTGCCTCGCCTGGTTCACCAACTACTTCTCAGATAGAGTTCAGTGTGTCAAATCGGAGGGCCTGTTGTCTGGACCTATGGCAGTCTCTATGGGGGGTGCCACAGGGTTCAATTCTTGGGCCGACACTTTTCTCCGTGTATATCAATGATGTCGCTCTTGCTGCTGGTGACTCTCTGATCCACCTCTACGCAGACGACACCATTTTGTATACATCTGGCCCTTCATTGGACACTGTGTTAACAAACCTCCAAACGAGCTTCAATGCCATACAACAATCCTTCAGTAGCCTCCAACTGCTCTTAAACACTAGTAAAACTAAATGCATGCTTTTCAATCGAACGCTGCTGGCACCCGCCCACCCGACTAGAATCACCACTCTCGACGGGTCTGACCTAGAGTATGTGGACAACTACAAATACCTAGGTGTCTGGTTAGACTGTAAACTCAACTTCCAGACTCACATAAAGAATCTCCAATCCAAAGTTAAATCTAGAATTGGCTTCCTATTTCGCAATAAAGCCTCCTTCACTCATGCTGCCAAACATGCCCTCGTAAAACTGACTATCCTACCGATCCTTGACTTCGGCGATGTAATTTACAAAATAGCCTCCAACACTCTACTCAGCAAATTGGATGTAGTCTATCACAGTGCCATCCGTTTTGTCTCCAAAGCCCCATACACTACCCACCACTGTGACCTGTACGCTCTTGTTGGCTGGTCCTCACTACATGTTCGTCGTCAAACCCACTGGCTCCAGGCCATCTATAAATCACTGCTAGGCAAATCCCCGCCTTATCTTAGCTCATTGGTCACCATAGCAGCACCCACCCGTAGTCTACGCTCCAGCAGGTATATCTCACTGGTCATTCCCAAAGCCAACACCTCCTTTGGCCGCCATTCCTTCCAGTTCTCTGCTGCCAATGACTGGAACGAATTGCAAAAATCTCTGAAGCTGGAGACTCTTATCTCCCTTAATAACTTTAAGCATCAGTTGTCAGAGCACCTTACCGATCACTGCACCTGTACACAGCCCATCCGAAATTAGCCCACCCAACTACCTCATCCCTATATTATTTATTTTGCTATTTTGCACCCCAGTATCTCTATTTGCACATAATTCTCTTGCACATCTAGCATTCCAGTGTTAATACTATTGTAATTATTCTGCACTATAGCCTATTTATTGCCTTACCTCCATAACTTGCTACATTTGCACACACTGTATATATATTTTCTGTTGTATTTTCTGACTTTATGTTTTTTTTACCCCATATGTAACTCTGTTGTTTTTATTGCACTACTTTGCTTTATCTTGGCCAGGTCGCAGTTGTAAATGAGAACTTGTTCTCAACTGGCTTACCTGGTTAAATAAAGGTGAAATAAAAAAATAAATAAAAAACTTGGATCGCACTTCCAGAAGCTTGAAGCTTGAAAATGAGAACCAGGTTGTCAGGATGGGTAATGTACTGTAATGTATCGTATAAGTTGGTAAATTTAGTGCAAACCTGCCCATTTGTAACAAGCAATTGTAACAAGCAATTGTTGTTACACTACTGTAATTACATATTGCAATTACTACCAGGTACATCTTGTTATTACATTGTAACAGTGAGTCGTAACAGTTAAATACGCTACTTGTTACAGTGTAATTACACTGTAATAAGGACCACTTAAAAGGAAGTGTTACCTAAAAAATATTTGTTAGAACTCGAAGCTTCAGCTAAAAAAAAAGATGTTAGCATTGTCAGAAATGCTACAAAAAGGTAGCAAATTGTTGGTTCTTAAATGGACAGAAATGAGCGTGTGAGAGCGAACAATTACAAATGTAATCAAAACTGTTGCCCCCCTACAAACGTATTCAGTCCGAAAGGTGGCAAGTCTAATGGTCCCTTCATGGACGCTGTGTTCTCGTTCTTATCCGACACCTAGATATTGAGCTAGGTCGGAGTAAGGCAATCCATATTTTTTTCCCCCCCTAATGCTAACAACCCCTGTTAAAAATCTGGTATGTGGTTCTCGGTAACGGCCGGACGGCTCATGACGAGAGGCGGGGGGTGTTGTGTACCTCCAAGGTGATTTGTGAATTTCGATCAACATTGGTGTCATATTGGCTTTATCCATGACGGGAGGGAGATGCCGGAATTCTCTCCAGATCAGTTTGAAACTCCAGGATCTTGTTTCTTTAGAGGAGTTTAAACGTTTGATTGACTCACGTTACTGAGGAATGTGATTGTTATTAGGATTTAATGCGGCGGTACATGTTTGTATGTTTCTGTATGTAATTGTAATGTACGTGTGTCTTTGTCTGAACATTGTTTCTCCCTGCTGCTGCTTTTGGAACAAGTCTCTCTTGAAAAATAGATTTTATCTCAATGAGACTACCTGGATAAATAAAGGTTAAATAAATGAAATATGGAGTCTGTATTTTTCTCAATCACATGCAATCGAGAATATGATATTATTGCGTACATTAAACCCAGATTTATTTCCAGTGCAACACTGCCACCATGTGCTGGATTTAAAAAATGATCAATAATAGAAATCGGCAGCTTCTACAAAAAAAAATTATACTCACAAGCCGCCTGATCCCGCGAGCTTACATGAATGGTTCGCTGCACGGATATCAACCATTCATTTAAGCTCGCGGGATCAGGCGGCTCGCGAGGCTACAAAAACGTCACACTTAATTTGGGTAGTCCCATATAGAAGATCTAAAGACGGTCAAACTATCAAGAAACTATCTGTTCATAAACAGCTGCTTGCTCTGGGAAACTATCTGTTCATAAACAGCTGCTTGCTCTGGTAAACTATCTGTTCATAAACAGCTGCTTGCTCTGGGAAATGTTACTTCCCTTTAGACTTACCTATACACAGTGCAAAAATGGAAAAGCTAAATGGAAAACAATCAAAAATGGTCTTACCTGTGTAATGTCTGTCATCTTCAAATGGAGACATGGTGGAAGAACGAAACAGAGAATTGTGATAGTTTCTACACACACAGCACATAGTGGATATAGCGCTACTTTATATCTTACTGTAAACAGAACCATGCACTGACAGAACCACAGAGCCATGCACTAACAGAACCACAGAGCCATGCACTAACAGAACCACAGAGCCATGCACTAACAGAACCACAGAGCCATGCATTAACAGAGCCATGCACTGACAAAGCCATGCACTGACAAAGCCATGCACTGACAGAGCCATGCACTGACAGAGCCATGCACTGGCAGAACCACAGAGCCATGCACTAACAGAGCCATGCACTGACAAAGCCATGCACTAACAGAGCCATTCACTGACAGAGCCATGCACTAACAGAGCCATTCACTGACAAAGCCATGCACTGACAGAGTCAAGCACTGACAGAGCCATGCACTAACAGAGCCATGCACTGACAGAGCCATGCACTGACAGAGCCATGCACTGACAGAGCCATGCACTAACAGAGCCATGCACTGACAGAGCCATGCACTGACAGAGCCATGCACTAACAGAACCATGCACTAACAGAGCCATGCACTGACAGAGCCATGCACTGACAAAGCCATGCACTGACAGAGCCATGCACTAACAGAGCAAATCAAGTGGGAAAAATCAAGATTGGTTCTGGTAAAAATGTACATCAGTTAGAGTCCTAAGATCCACTTTTTGATCAAGGAACAATATAGCCACAGTATCTTTACTCACAGTGGCAGACGGGTTTGGGCGAGTCCCACTGGCCCAGCTTGTTGCAGTGTGTTGAGTTCCTGCCGACCAGGATGAATCCTGGCAGACAGCTGTACTGCAGTACGGTCCCCTCCACTGGGGGCCCCAGGGGCCACTCTGATACACGCCCGTTCTCCAGAGACGTCCACACCCGCAGGCACTGTAGTACTAGGAGAGGGAGGGATAGATCAGGGTTAGAGTAGGTATGGGTGAGATGGACGGAGAGAGGGAGGGAGGGAGATGAGGGTATGGGTGAGGGGGAGGGGGAGGGTGGGAGGGAGGGATTGAGGCAGGAGAAAGTGTATTCCTCAGGTTCAGATTCTAGTATGCTTCCATAACGCTACTGTATCATTCACCCTGTACTAAAATTTGCAAGTGGACCAGCAACTGAGCCTGTGAAGAGTTTTCGTAAAGAGTGAGAGAAGAACAGAAACGATTCTTAAAGAGTGAGAGAACACAGAAAATATTCTTAAAGAGTGAGAGAACACAGAAAATATTCTTATAGTGAGAGAAGAACACAGAAAAGATTCTTAAAGAGTGAGAGAACACAGAAAATATTCTTATAGTGAGAGAAGAACACAGAAAAGATTCTTAAAGAGTGAGAGAACACAGAAAATATTCTTATAGTGAGAGAAGAACACAGAAAAGATTCTTAAAGAGTGAGAGAAGAACACCGAAAAGATTCTTAAAGAGTGAGAGAAGAACACATAAAATATTCTTAAAGAGTGAGAGAAGAACACAGAAAAGATTCTTAAAGAGTGAGAGAAGAACACAGAAAAGATTCTTAAAGAGTGAGAGAAGAACACATAAAATATTCTTAAAGAGTGAGAGAAGAACACAGAAAAGATTCTTAAAGAGTGAGAGAAGAACACAGAAAATATTCTTAAAGAGTGAGAGAAGAACACAGAAAATATTCTTAAAGTGAGAGCTGTACACAAAAAAGACATACAGGTGTGTGGGTAAATACTGTAGAGGGACAGTGCATCGACAGTGGTTATAGGGATGTACCATCGGTTGAGGGAGGTAAGAGTAACCCCACCCGTCGGAAGACAATGGGGGATCCCCTTGCCATGAAAAAGCTGCATGCCTTGAGTGGATAGCAGTCGAGTATGTGGTTAGATGTTAGAGTGGCTTACCTCATTCAAAAAGGAGTAGTCCCCCTGTTTGAAGGGGCTGAAAGTTGACAGTATACGCGATGGAGAAAGACGGGTAGAAGCAGAAAGAGATGGAGAGTGTAAGTTTATGAGCAACCTTGACTAAGAATCGGACTTCCGTTAGCTCCCCGTGCTAATGCCTAGGTTTTAGCTCTGTGAGCTAACACAGTCTTGTGGTCCACAGGAGACCCAGTCCGTCACATGTAGAAGTAGATATATGGATGATATGGTCAGTTATGGAGCGTATTCGAGTAGAAAAGATGCTCACAACATTTGCTGCGCTGGGTGAGGTCAGTCCAGGTACCGTTGGGTAGACACTTCCTAACATTGGGTCCAACGATCACTCTGTTCCCTCTGCAGATGTACTCAATCTCATAGTCCACCGGTAACACCTGCACACTGCGGATCTGGATACACACACAGACACACACACACAGTGAGATAGGGAGCTGTATCTGTTGAATAATTGGCACTACATTTACTCTTGGGATCTGTTAGCATATTACATTCCAATACCGTTAGGCTCTACATTCGTTACAGCTGATCTACATTTGTTACAGCTGATCTACATTCGTTACAGCTGATCTACATTCGTTACAGCTGATCCACATTCGTTACAGCTGATCTACATTCGTTACAGCTGATCTACATTTGTTACAGCTGATCTACATTCGTTACAGCTGATCTACATTCGTTACAGCTGATCCACATTCGTTACAGCTGATCTACATTCGTTACAGCTGATCTACATTCGTTACAGCTGATCCACATTCGTTACAGCTGATCTACATTCGTTACAGCTGATCTACATTCGTTACAGCTGATCCACATTCGTTGCAGCTGATCTACATTCGTTACAGCTGATCTACATTAGTTACAGCTGATCTACATTCGTTACAGATGATCTACATTCGTTCCAATCTAGTATAGTCAATAAACCAGCAGCGGCCCCTACCTGCTCCTGGGTCAGTCCTCTGTACCGTATCCCTCCATCTCTGGGAGGACGGATGATAGCACAGCCTCCTGGGAACGAGAGGAGAGACACGCCGTCAGATAAATGAGAGGTGACCAGGACATGATGAGAGCCAACCAGCCAGCCAGCCAACCAACCAACCAACCCTGTCCTATCATGTGTCCAAAATGGTACCCTATTCCCTTTATAGTGTACTACTTTTGACCAGGGCCAATAGAGCTCTGGTCAAATGTAGTGCGCTATGGGAATAGTGTGCCATTTTGGGACGCGACCCATCTGTCAGATCTCTCTGTATCTGTTAAGTCTGTTAGCCTCATCTTCCTGTAAACACTGTCAGTACCTGCTCGTGGCCACTAGATGGCGCTCTTTACCTACTGATTACTTATCTGACCTCAATACATATCTTCTCGCCTCTTTCTCAACCATATTGGAGGAGGAGATTCAAAGTCCCTCCCCTCTGACCTTCTTCTCCAATGGGTTTTGAGAAGGAGGAAAGACGCATTGATATCAGTGCCTCCGTAAACGTTCTTGTCTGCTCTCACCACACACCTTAACCACTAAGCTACCTTAACCACTAAGCTACCTTAACCACTAAGCTACCTTAACCACTAAGCTACCTTAACCACTAAGCTACCTTAACCACTAAGCTACCTGCCGCCCCATGTGTGTGTTTAGCCTGCTTATCAGGCAAAACACACACACCACACACACACACACACACACACACACACACACACACACAAACACAACCCCCACACACACCCAACACACCCACACACACAAACACACACACAGCACACACCACACCACACACCACAAAAACACACACACCCACACACACACCACACACACCAACAACACACACACACACCACACACACCACACCCCCCACACACAAAACACAACACACCACAAACCAACAACAAACGCAAAACCACACACAACAAACAAAACCGAAACACAAAAAACACCCCACCCCCAAACCACCCCCAAAAAAAAACCACACACACACCCCACACAAAAAACCAAACCCCACACACACCCCACACCCCCAACACACACCACACACAACACACACACCAAACCCCACACCCCACACCCCACACACCACACACACAAACCAAAAAACCCCACAAAACACCACCACAAAACCCCACACAAAACCCCAACCACCACACACACACACACACCCCAAAAAAAAACCAAAACCCCACACACAAAACCACCCACAAAAACAAAAAACGGGAAAAAAAAAAACACCCCAAACACCCCACACAAGCCACCAACACACACCCCCCGAAAACACCAAAACACCCCCCAACACCCCAAAACACACCCCACACACACACACAACACACCAAAACAGCCCACACCACCACACCCCCAACACACCACACACCACACCCCCAAACCCCCACACAGAACACCCCACACACACACAAACCCCACACACCACAAAACACACACACCACACCCCCAAAACACACACCAAGAAACACCCCACAAACACACCCCAAAAACAAACACACACCCCACACACACCCACAGAAAAAACCACAACACCCCCAACAAAACCCCAACAACACCCACACCCCAACACACAACCCCACACCACACGAAAGCACCAACCCCAACACACGAAACCCCAACCAAAAACACCCCACACAAAACCCCACAACACACACAAAACAAAAAAAACCAAAAAACAAAACCCAAAAAACCAAAAACCAAAACCAAAAAAACACACACAAAAACACACACACCACACACCCCCCACAAAGGGCCCACCCACACAAAAACCACAAAAAACCACAAAAAACACACCAAAAACAAAAAAACACCACACCCGGAAACCCCACCCAAAAACACACCCCACGCACACCCCCAAACCCACCCCCAAAACACAAACCAAAAAAAACCAAAAAAACCACCAACACCAAACCCCCACACACACACACACCCCAAAACCACACCCACACACAAAAAACCCCCACGAAAACACCACACACCACACACCCCACACACGAACCCCAAAAACACACCAAAAAAACGCCCGAAAACACACACACCCCCACACACACGGAACACACACCAAAACCCACACACACACCACACACACACACCCCCCAAAAAACCCCAAAAAACCAACACACACACCACCCCACACCCCAACACACACCCCAAACACACACAAGCCACACCACACACACACCCCACACCCCACCCCAAAACACCACAAAACCACCAAACGAAAAACACAAAACCAACAAAACCACAAAAAAAAAACCAAAATAAACCCCACAAAAACAAAAAAAAAAAAAAAAAAAAACCCACACGAAAAAAAAAAAAAAACACACAAAAAAAAAAACACCAAAAAACACAAAAACCACGAAACCCCCTCACACAACACCACCCCAACAAAACACCCCCAAAAGAAAAGCAAAACCACACACAAAACCCCCAAACCACAAAACCACACACACAAAAAAACCAAAAACAAAAAAAACAAAAAAAACCACAAAAAAACAAAAAAAAAACACCCCAAAAAAACACAACCCAAACAAACACCAAACAAAAAAAACCCCACCCCAAAACACACAAAAAAAAACCAAAAACACAAAACCCCCCACACCACACCACAAAAAAAAAACCAAAAACCCACACACACACCCCACCACACACACATCACAATCACCCCAAACACACACAACACACCCCCAACACACCAAAACCACACCCCAAAAACACACACCCAACACACAAAAACACCACACACACACCCCACCACAACAAACACACACCAAACCACACCCCACAAACACACACCCCACCCCACACCCACACACACCCCACCACACACCACAAACCCACACCCCAACACCCAAACAAACTACCCCCAACACCCCCACCACCCCAAAAACACAAAAACCCCACACCCCCTTTTCCAATAAAACCCAAAAATTACAACCTATTTACATGAACACAATAGTACTAGCTGATTAACAGTGTAGCCTAGTTTCCCTCTGTTGCTGTCTAGGCCTGTCCCCCTAGTAGATATAACTGGATGTCCTTCTCATTTGAGTGATGTCACTGCTGCCATCCACATAGCATAATGTTCTCTCATACCTCTAAATGTGGGTATTTGTGTTGTCAGTGTTAGCTGATTAACGGTGTGGCACAAACGCCTAGCTGGAAAACTAGCTATAGGTTTTGTCTACTAGATGACAGCCTGTGTCAACTCAACAGGCCACACGGCATAGTGTTTCTCACATAGAAATATAATCTAGATTCTGCATTATATTTCTATGGTGTCTCATATATCTGAGTGTTGCTGCGTTGTAACTCTCTCTCTCTATCCCCCAGCTCCCTGAGGACGTGTGTGTGTGTGTGTGTGTGTGTGTGGTGCGTGCGGCGTGTGTGTGTGTGTGTTGGTGTGTGTGCGATGTGGTCGTGTGGTGTGTGTGTGTGGGTGTGTGTGTGTGTGTGGTGGTGTTGTGTGTGTGTGTGTCGTGTGTGTGTAGGTGTGTGTGGTGTAGTGTGTGTGTGTGATGTGTGGGTGTGTGTGTGGTGTGTGTGTGTGTGTGTGTGGGTGTGGTGTGTTAGTGTGTGTGTGGGGTGGGTGTGGTGTGTGTGTGTGGTGTGTGTGTGTGTGTTGTGTGTGTGTGGTGTGTGTGTGTGTGTGTGTGTGTGTGTGTGTGTGTGTGTGTGTTTGTGTGTGTGTGTGTGGTGTGAGTTGTGATGTGTGTTGCGTTTGTACTTGTTTTCCTACATTATACAGGACCCAATGTCCTCACATGTTACCTTAACATCCTGAAAAGGCAAGAAAACAATAACTTTTTTGAAAAGTCAGGACTTTTTTCTTGTCCTGAATTTGTTCAAATGCTATTTTAAGCTTAAGGGTTAGGTTTTTGGGGTTAGGGTTAGGTAAAAATGTTACACTCCAAAAAGTCCAGAAATGTCCCGAAAACACAGCTGTGTGTGTGTGCGTGTGGTGTGTGGTGTGTGTGTGTGTGTGGTGTGTGTTGTTGCTTGTGGTGTGTGATGCAGTTTGTGTGTGTGTGTGTGGTGGTGTTTGTGTGGTGTGGTGTGTGTGGTGTGTGTGCGTGTGGTGTGTGTGCGTGTGGTGTGTGCGTGCATGTGTGCGTGCGTGCGTGCGTGTGTGTGTGTGTGTGTGTGTGCGTGCGTGTGTGTGTGTGTGAGTGTGTGTCTGTATCCTCTGATAATAACAACGATGAATACACGGTGACTGAGTTTATCAGGAAGTGTATAGGAGATGTTGTACCCACTGTGACTATTAAAACCTACCCAAACCAGAAACCGTGGATAGATGGCAGCATTCTCGCAAAACTGAAAGCGCGAACCACTGCATTTAACCATGGCAAGGTGACTGGGAATATGGCAGAATACAAACTGTGTAGTTATTCCCTCCGTAAGGCAATCAAACGGCTCAGACACGAGACGTATGTGGCAGGGTCTACAGATAATCACGGATTACAAAGGGAAAACCAGCCACGTCGCCGACACCGATGTCTCGCTTCCAGACAAGCTAAACACCTTCTTCGCCCGCTTTGAGGATAACACAGTGCCACCGACGCGGCCCGCTACCAAGGACAGTGGGCTCTCCTTCTCCGTGGCCGACTTGAGTAAGACATTTAAGCGTGTTAACCCTCGCAAGGCTGCCGGCCCAGACGGCATCCCTAGCCACGTCCTCAGAGCATGCACAGACCAGCTGGCTGGAGTGTTACAGACATATTCAATCTCTCCCTATCCCAGTCTGCTGTCCCCACTTGCTTCAAGATGTCCACCATCATTCCTGTATCCAAGAACGCAAAGGTAACTGAACTAAATGACTATCGCCCCGTAGCACTCACGTCTGTCATCATGAAGTGCTTTGAGAGGCTAGTTAAGGATCATATCATCTCTACCTTACCTGATACCCTAGACCCACTTCAATTTGCTTATCGCCCCAATAGATCCACAGACGATGCAATCGCCACTGCACACTGCCCTATCCCATCTGGACAAGAGGAATACCTATGTAAGAATGTTGTTCATTGACTAAAGCTCATCATTAAGCTCGGGGCCCTGGGTCTGAACCCTGCCCTGTGCAACTGGGTCCTGGAATTCCTGACGGGCCGCCCCCAGGTGGTGAAGGTAGGAAACAACACCTCCAGTGTTTGCAGACGACACAACAGTAGTAGGCTTGATTACCAACAATGAAGAGACAGCCTACAGGGAGGAGAGTGTGGTGCCAGGAAAATAATATTTCATTCAACATCAACAAAACAAAGGAGCTGATCGTGGACTTCAGGAAACAGCAGAGGGAGCACGCCCCTATCCACATTGACGGACCGCAGTGGAGAAGGTGGAAAGCTTAAAGTTCCTCGGCATACACATCACTGACGATCTGAAATGGTCCACCCACACAGACAGTGTGGTGAAGAAGGCGCCACAGCACCTCTTGAACCTCAGGAGGCTGAATAAATTTGGCTTGGCACCTAAAACCCTCACAAACCTTTACAGATGCACAATTGAGAGCATCCTGTCGGGCTGTATCACCGCCTGGTACGGCAACTGCACCGCCCGCAACCTCAGGGCTCTCCAGAGGGTGGTGCGGTCTGCCCAACGCATCACCTGGGTCAAACTACCCGCCCTCCAGGACACCTACAGCTCCCGATGTCACAGGAAGGCCAAAAACCACCCGAGCCACTGCCTGTTCACCCCGCTATCATCCAGAAGGCGAGGTCAGTACAGGTGAGATCAAAGCTGGGACTGAGAGACTGAAAAACAGCTTCTATTTCAAGGCCATCAGACTGTTAAATAGCCATCACTAGCAACCTAGAGGCTGCTGCTGCCTATTGAAATCACTGGACACTTTAATAATGTTTACATCTTTTTGCTTTACTCATCTCATATGTATATACTGTATTCTATTCTACTGTATTTAGTCTATGCCACTCTGACGTTGCTCGTCCTAACATTTACACATTCCTTAATTGCATTCTTTTACTTTTAGATTGTGTGTATTATGTGTATTGTTGAATTGTTAGATATTACTGCACTGTTAGAGCTAGAAACACAAGCATTTCGCTACACCCGCAATAACATCTGCCAAACATTTGTATGTCACCAATAACATTTGATTTGATTTGATTTGAGTGTGTGCGCGCATGTGTGTATGCAGCATCCCTTGAGGATGGTTGCATTTGGAACCTGCGATTACGGCCGGATCACAGTATCACCTCCTAATTACACCATCCCACTACACCCTCGGTCAGCGCACACACACACACACACACACACACACATACACACTCACACACTCACACACCCGTCCCATCCCTTGGCACCAGAGGGCAGGTAAGATCACTGGACGTGACTCCAACACTGGAGGTGTATGTGTTACATACTGTGTACTAGGCTTGAATATTTTCCCCAGTATTTTACAACATGTTCCATCTAGAGAATAAATCACTTTTCTCCCAGGTAACCCAGTATTTCCCGCCAAAACCTGAAGCGTCATTAAAAAGCATTATGAAGCGTTTAAATAGGCCCAAGTCTGGATTTGATTAGAGCTTTGATTGAAAATTCAAGCCTGATGTTACCTGAGCCTGATAAACCATACGTTCATCCACCTCTGGCCTGCTGGCTCCCCTACCTCTGCGGAAGCATAGTTCCCGCTCAGCCCAGTCAAAACTGTTCGCTGCTCTGGCACCCCAATGGTGGAACAAGCTCCCTCACGACGCCAGGACAGCGGAGTCACTCACCACCTTCCGGAGACATTTGAAACCCCACCTCTTTAAGGAATACCTGGGATAGGATAAAGTAATCCTTCTACCCCCCCTTACCCCAACCCCCCCCCCCCCCCCCCCCCCCCCCCCCCCCCCCACCCCCAAAAAAAACAACATTGTAAAGTGGTTATCCCACTGGCTATAAGGTGAATGCACCAATTTGTAAGTCGCTCTGGATAAGAGCGTCTGCTAAATGACGTAAATGTAAATGTAAATGTAAATTAAGCCCCCAAAAAACTAATGATTGTGCCGTTATCAAAAACATACGGTATATGATATAGGCTACTGCACATTACACATGACAGAAAAATATAAAGTCCATAGATGTAGCTAGCTATATAAAAGCCCATAGATGTAGCTAGCTATATAAAAGCCCATAGATGTAGCTAGCTATATAAAGCCCATAGATGTAGCTAGCTATATAAAGCCCATAGATGTAGCTGGCTATATAATAATAATATAATAATATGCCATTTAGCAGACGCTTTTATCCAAAGCGACTTACAGTCATGCGTGCATACATTTTTTGTGTATGGGTGGTCCCGGGGATCGAACCCACTATCTTGGCGTTACAAGCGCCGTGCTCTACCAGCTGAGCTACAGAAGACCACAGATGTAGCTAGCTATATAAAGCCCATAGATGTAGCTGGCTATATAAAGCCCATAGATGTAGCTAGCTATATAAAGCCCATAGATGTAGCTGGCTATATAAAGCCCATAGATGTAGCTAGCTATATAAACCCCCATAGATGTAGCTAGCTATATAAAAGCCCATAGATGTAGCTAGCTATATAAAGCCCATAGATGTAGCTAGCTATATAAAGCCCATAGATGTAGCTGGCTATATAAAGCCCATAGATGTAGCTAGCTATATAAAGCCCATAGATGTAGCTGGCTATATAAAGCCCATAGATGTAGCTAGCTATATAAACCCCATAGATGTAGCTAGCTATATAAAAGCCCATAGATGTAGCTAGCTATATAAAGCCCATAGATGTAGCTAGCTATATAAAGCCCATAGATGTAGCTAGCTATATAAAGCCCATAGATGTAGCTAGCTATATAAAGCCCATAGATGTAGCTAGCTATATAAAGCCCATAGATGTAGCTGGCTATATAAAGCCCATAGATGTAGCTAGCTATATAAAGCCCATAGATGTAGCTGGCTATATAAAGCCCATAGATGTAGCTAGCTATATAAACCCCATAGATGTAGCTAGCTATATAAAAGCCCATAGATGTAGCTAGCTATATAAAGCCCATAGATGTAGCTAGCTATATAAAGCCCATAGATGTAGCTAGCTATATAAAGCCCATAGATGTAGCTAGCTATATAAAGCCCATAGATGTAGCTAGCTATATAAAGCCCATAGATGTAGCTAGCTATATAAAGCCCATAGATGTAGCTAGCTATATGCTCTCTTGGGTAAATAAATGAAACTAGCTCCAGTAGGCTAATCTTTTTTAGTGTAAACTGTATTACTGTACTGTATTCTATTATACTGTATTATACAGTATGGACTGGAATTACACACATCGTTCAATCCATGATAAAGCAGGGAGAGAACATGTGATTCTGGTGGAGCACATGCATTACAAGTACAGGCTAGCGAATTTGATATTCATTTTGAAATATAATAGGGCCTATTTGTAGAATTAGTATTCGGAAAGTCTTCAGACCCCTTCCCTTTTTTCACATTTTGTTACGTTACAGCCTTATTCTAAAATGGATTAAATAAAATTGTATAATATACTCCCTATTTTCAGGTCTCTACAGAGGTGTTTGACCGGGCTCTTGCTGGGCCACTCAAGGACATTCAGATACTTGTCCCGAAGCCACTCCTGCGTTGTCTTGGCTGTGTGCTTAGGGTTGTTGTCCTGTTGGAAGGTGAATCTTCGCCCCAGTCTGAGGTCCTGAGCACTCTGGAGCAGGTTTTCATCAAGGATCTCTCTGTGCTTTGTTCTGTTCATCTTTCCCTCGATCCTGACTAGTGTCCCAGTCCCTGCCACTGAAAAACATCCCCACAGCATGATGCTGCCACCACCATGCTTCACCGTAGAGATGGTGCCAGGAATTACTCCAGATGTGACGCTTGGCATTCAGGACAAAGAGTTCAATCTTGGTTTCATCAGACCAGAGAATCTTGTTTTCTCATGGTCTGAGAGTCCTTTAGGTGCCTTTTGGCAAACTCCAAGCTGGCTGTCATGTGCATTTTACTGAGGAGTGGCTTCTGTCGGGCCACTCTATCATTAAGGCCTGATTGGTGGAGTTCTGAAGAGATGGTTGTCCTTCTGGAAGATTCTCCCATCTCCACAGAGGAACTCTGGAGCTCTGTCAGAGTGACCATCGGGTTATTCGCCACCTCCCTGACCAAGGCCCTTCACCCCCGATTGCTCAGTTTGGCCGGGCGGCCAGCTCTAGGAAGAGTCTTGGTGGTTCCAAACTTCTTCCATTTAAGAATGATGGAGGCCACTGTGTTCTTGGGAACAGTCAATGCTGAATAATTTTTTTGGTACCCTTGTCCAGATCTGTGCCTCGACACAATCCTGTTCGGAGCTCTACGGACGATTCCTTCAACCTCATGTCTTGGTTTTTGCTCTGACATGCACTGTCAACTGTGGGACCTTATATAGACAGGTGTGTGCCTTTCCAAATCATGTGCAATCAATTGAATTTATCACAAGTGAACTCCAATCAAGTTGTAGAAACATCTCAAGGATGAGCTCAATTTCAAGTCTCATAGCAATGGGTCTGAATACTTATGTAAATCAGGTATTTCTGTTTTTTATGTTTAATACATTTGCTAAAATTTCAAAAAACCTGTTTTCACTTTGTCATTATGGGGTATTGTGTGTATTGTGTGTAGATTGATGATGTAACAAAATGTGGAAAAAGTCAAGGGGTTTAAAAACATTCCGAATGCACTGTATAACAGGGTATATAACAGGGTATATAACAGTAAACAACAGGGTATATAACAGGGTATATAACAGAGTGTATAACAGTATATAACAGGGTATATAACAGGGTATATAATAGTGTATAACAGTATATAACAGGGTGTATAACAGTATATAACAGGGTATATAACAGGGTGTATAACAGTATATAACAGGGTTTATAACAGGGTATATAACAGGGTGTATAACAGTATATTACAGGGTGTATAACAGGGTATATAACAGGGTGTATAACAGTATATAACAGGGTGTATAACAGTATATAACAGGGTATATAACAGGGTGTATAACAGTATATAACAGGGTATATAACAGGGTATATAACAGGGTGTATAACAGTATATAACAGGGTATATAACAGGGTGTATAACAGTATATAACAGGTATATAACAGTATATAACAGGGTGTATAACAGTATATAACAGAGTATATAACAGGGTGTATAACAGTATATAACAGGGTATATAACAGGGTAATAACAGGGTATAACAGTAATACATCAGGGTATATACAGGGGTGTATAACAGTATATAACAGGGTATATAACAGGTGTAATAACAGAGTTAAAGTATATAACAGGGTAATAACAGGTGATAACGTATATAAAGGTATATAACAGGGTAAAACATTATAAGGGGGTATAACGGGGTGTATAAAAAATTTAACGGGGTATAAACAGGGGATCCCAGTAAAACGGGTGTATAACGGGTATTAACGGTTTTAAAAAACGGGGTATAAAACAGGGTAATAAAGGTTAAAAAGTATAAAAACAGGGATATAACGGGGTGTAAAACGTATAAAACAAGTTATAACAGGGTGTAAAACGTATAAACGGGGTATATAACAGGGTATATAATAGGGAAATTAACGGTGTAAAACAGAAAAAAAAAGGGGTATAAAGGGTTAAACAGATGTATAACATTTTAAACCAGGGTGTTAACAGTTTTTAACAGGGAATAACGGGGTTTAAAACAGTATAAACGGGGTGTATAACAGTATATTACAGGTGTTAACAGGTTAAAAACGGGGGATAACAGGGTGTAAAACAGGGTATTAACGGGGTGATATATAACATGTGTATAAAAGGGCTATATAACAGAGTATATAACAGGGTATATAACAGGGTATATAACAGAGTGTATAACAGGCTATATAACAGGGTATATAACAGGGTATTCTGCCTGAGAGCTTTAGTGTTACACCACTATGACATGTGATAACAAGCGGCTGATGTTTTTTAGCAAATGTCCATTTGTGTTATGGCACCGCTCTTCCGTTTGTGGTTGATTTGTTTCTAACCCCGGGGTTTAGTCTAGCCTGCCATGCCTTCACTGTTGGAAGTGGCTGGAAATGGTGGCTGGCTGTCTGGCTGTCTCTGGTATTAGTGGTATTAGTGGTATTAGCCTGCGTCCCAAATGGCGCCCTATTCCCTACATAGTACACTACTTTTGCTCAGAGCCCTATGTGAATAGGGTGCCGTTTGGGATGCAGCCATGGTCTCAGGACCAGTCACAGTGGTTTTTTCGTGCCAAGGTGCTGACTGATCTGGTTGATGAGAAAGGAGTCCATACATATGAAGAATACAAATACATGCAAACTAAGCCGTCAAAACAGAGGGAGGACCTTTGACCATGCAGAGATACATTACCATGCATACACACACAGACACACACACACACACACACCACACACACACACTGACACACACACACACACACACACTGACACACACTGACACACACACACTGACACACACACACTGACACACACACCACACACACTGACACATACACCACACACACACAGACACACACACCACACACACACAGACACACACACCACACACACACACACACACTGACACATACACCACACACCACACAGACACCACACACACACTGACACACACACACTGACACATACACCACACACACACAGACACACACACACACACAGACACATACACCACACACACACTGACACATACACCACACACACACACTGACACATACACCACACACACACTGACACATACACCACACACACACAGACATACACACAGTCACAGACACTCACACATCTGTCACGTCAAAGACACACATTTAAATGAAAGCACACATTCATTACCCGCAGTTGTATTGTGTTTGGCGGCCGTGAGGGGGGGGAAAAACCCCGGACAAAATTAAAAAATAAAAGACAAAGTATCCTTCCACCGCGGAAAAGAAGGGGAGGGGAGAGAGGTTACATGGGGGAATCAAAAACAGAGAGAGCAAAAGAGGTGTGGAAATAAGGAGGGGGAGAGGAAGAAGGAGGAGAAAAAAAAAAAAAAAAAAAAGGGGGGGGGGGGGGGGGGGGGGGGTTTTTTTTTTTTTTTCCCAAAAATTTTCCCCCCCTTGCCGGGTTGGGGGTTTCCTCTTCCCCCCCCCCCTTCCCCCCGTCCTTTTCCTTTCTTTTTGAAATCTTGTTATATTTTATCCCCCCTCCCGCCCATTGTTACCCCCCCCTCCCCAATACAACCCACCCCCCCTTCCCCCTGCAATCCCCCCTAACCCCCCTTCGAAACCCCCCTGACTTGCGATTCTTTCTGGGGACCGAGTTACCATCCCATTCCCCCCCGTTCCCAGTCCGTCCCGGTTTTCCTTCCCCCTTTCCCTTCCCCCCGTACCCAGTCCCATTCCCGTTCCCGTTCCCAGCGGCCGAGTCCCAGTCCCATCCCATTCCCGTTGCCCAGATGCCATCCCAGTTTCCCATTCCCAATTCCCCGTCCCATTTCGCCAGGTCCCGTTGCCCAGTCCCTCCCAGTTCCCGTTCCCAGGCGTCCCGTTTCCCAGCCCATTCCCGTTCCCAGCGCCAGTCCCATTCCCGTTCCCAGCGCCAGTCCCAGTCCCAGTCCCGTTCCCAGTCCCATTTCCAGTCCCGTTCCCAGTCCCATTCCCATTCCCAGTCCCAGTCCCGTTCCCAGTCCCATTCCCAGCGCCAGTCCCAGTCCCGTTCCCGTTCCCAGTCCCGTTCCCAGTCCCAGTCCCGTTCCCAGTCCCATTCCCAGCGCCAGTCCCATTCCCGTTCCCGTTCCCAGTCCCGTTCCCAGTCCCAGTCCCGTTCCCAGTCCCATTCCCTGTCATTTCCATTAGTTTGGATGATGTATAGTATGCTGGTCCTATTCCTTCCCTGCTACAGCCGTGGTAGTAGTCAACGCCCAGTGACTCACCACCAGCCCAGTATATACCAAGTCATTGACTGAAAGAGGGCTGAATTAGCAATACATCAATGCACCACTACCGCTTGCTTGCTTTGCATGGTGCCAGCCAGAGAGCCAGCCAGCCAGAGAGACAGCCAGCCAGCCAGCCAGCCAGAGAGCCAGCCAGCCAGCCAGAGAGACAGCCAGCCAGAGAGACAGCCAGCCAGACAGCCAGCCAGAGAGACAGCCAGCCAGAGAGCCAGACAGCCAGCCAGAGAGACAGCCAGCCAGACAGCCAGCCAGAGAGACAGCCAGCCAGAGAGCCAGACAGCCAGCCAGAGAGCCAGAGAGACAGCCAGCCAGAGAGACAGCCAGCCAGACAGCCAGCCAGACAGCCAGACAGCCAGCCAGAGAGCCAGAGAGACAGCCAGCCAGAGAGACAGCCAGCCAGACAGCCAGACAGCCAGAGAGCCAGCCAGACAGCCAGAGAGCCAGCCAGCCAGCCAGAGAGCCAGCCAGCCAGAGAGCCAGCCAGCCAGACAGCCAGCCAGCCAGAGAGACAGCCAGCCAGAGAGACAGCCAGCCAGACAGCCAGCCAGACAGCCAGACAGCCAGCCAGAGAGACAGAGAGACAGCCAGCCAGAGAGACAGCCAGCCAGACAGCCAGCCAGAGAGCCAGAGAGACAGCCAGCCAGAGAGACAGCCAGCCAGACAGCCAGCCATCCAGCCAGCCAGCCAGCCAGCCAGCCAGCCAGCCAGACAGCCAGACAGCCAGAGACCACAGGCCTATTTAGGTGCACTTCATCCAGTGCTTTTGAGGGGGAGGTAAATGCAGGATGATTGAATGGATTGATTATTTATATTGAACCTAGTGAATGGCCCTCCTGCAGTGATTCGATAGCCTGCGTACCAAATAACTTCCTATTCCCTATGTAGTGCACTACTTTTGACCAGTACCCATAGGGACTAGGGTGCCATATGGGACGCGGCCTCGATGAAAGCGGAGAAGCGGAGGGATAAGAGTGTGAGTGCAAAAGTGATTTGTTAAACGCTGCCCAGCCCAACAGCAGGAGTCAAACAATAAAACATTCAAACACACCGAAGCTGTTGGGATACGAAACCCGGGAGGGCACCATCAACAGCTGTAGTGAATCTGTGACTGAAATGTGTCCAAAATTACACCCTATTCACATTTACATTTTAGTCATTTAGCAGACGCTCTTAACCAGAGCGACTTACAGTGCATACATTTTTATTTGTTTCAACAAAATAAATCATACTGGCCCCCCACATGGGAAACGAACCCACAACCCTGGCGTTGCAAGCGCCATGCTCTACCAACTGAGCTACACGGGGCCTATTTAGTGCACTACTTATGACCTTAGCCCTGGTTAAAAGTAGTGCACTATATAGTAAGTAAGGTGCAGTTGGGATGCAGCCTGTGACACCAGAGACCAGATGCTGCATATTAAAATGTTCCAAACACTTACAGATATAATCGCTGTGCAAATCCACCAATCCTGGCATACCCACCACAGGTATATCTCTCTTCTGACCCATATACCTTTGCATGCCGCCGCCGCGATATGTTCGCCCACAGTCCCGAGTAATTAAAGGCCCAGTGCAGTCAAAAACTGTGTTTTCCTGTGTTTTATATATATAGTTCCACACTATGAGGTTGGAAGAATACTATGAAAATGATGATAATGCCCTTTTAGTGTAAGAGCTGTTTGACATCACCAGGCAGTAAATTAGTTAATAGACCAATAAGAAAGAGAGTTCCAAACCTCTCTGCCAATAACAGCTCGTTGTCAGTTTTCCCCTCCCCACTCCCAGATAGTCCTACAAAAATTATTGCCTGAGAAAAAAATAATAGATTGCAGTTTTGATTAAATTGATTTTTCATTTACTTTACAATCAGCCCTTCAATCAGCCATGAAATGACAATGAATGATTCTGGACACATTCTCATCTTGAACTATACAGGTGGGAGTCGCTCCTCATCATGCCTCAGATGCAGGATCTTAATTTGAGCCAGTTTGCTACAGCAGGAAAATAATTACATTTACGTCATTTAGCAGACGCTCTTATCCAGAGCGACTTACAGGAGCAATTAGGGTTAAGTGCCTTGCTTAAGGGCACATCGACAGATTTTTCACCTAGTCGGCTCGGGGATTAGAACCAGCGACCTTTCGGTTACTGGCACAACGCTCTTACCCACTAAGCTACCTGCCGCCCAATAATCCTGCTGCAACAGGAAATGTGAATTATTATGTGGATTATACATAATGAATGGACATTTTTGTAGGGGTTGATACATTTTTCTTAAGGGAAAATCAAGACTGAAATTTCTAAGTGGAAATTACAAACATCAGAAGCCTTTTTAAACCTCAAGTTCCCCTACAACAGGGTGATCAAATTAAGATCCTACATCTGTACATGTGTGAAGGACCCTTTGGAACAGAGCTGTGGCAGTTAAAAGCCCATGGTTGCTTCCCAAATGGCACCCTGTTACCTATATAGTGCATTACCTTTGACCAGAGCCCTATGGGTTTCACTATGGGGCCCTGGTCTAAAAGTAGTGCGCTATAAAGGGAAATAGGGTGCCATTTGGGACTATATAACCATGACAGAGGATGCCATCACCTTTATAGCTTCCTGCTGCATCGAGGGGAATTTCTGATGGCTGTCAGAGGGTGAGGTGGCCTGGTATTGGAGAGTGAACGTGCATCCCAAATGGCACCCTATTCCGTATACAGTGCAGTACTTTTGACCAGAGCCCTATGTTCCCTGGTCAAAAGTAGTGCACTGTATAGGGAATAGGGTGCCATTTGGGACGGAGCCTAAGTATGAAAGTAGCTAAGCTAGTGTAGTGTTAGACTGCTACAGTGCAGGGTTAACAGTAACACTCATTCAGACAAACACTACTGTTCATAGAGGCGTACAAGTGGGAATAGAGAAGACAGCTAGGAGTCCACCTCCAGCAGCAGACCAGGCAGGATAGCGCTCTCTCTCTCTCTCTCTCTCTCTCTCTCTCTCTCTCCCTCTCTCTCCCTCTCTCCTCTCTCCCTCTTCTCCCTCTCCCTCTCTCCCTCTCTCCCTCTCTCCCTCTCTCCCTCCCTACCCTCCCTCTCTCTCTCTCGCTCTCTCTCTCTCTCTCTCTCTCTAATTGAAATTCAAATTGCTTTATTGGCATGAAAGACATTGTGTAAATATTGCCAAAGCAACAATGTATACAATATACATTCTAATAAAATAATGGAATAATAATATTAAATAGTGCTATTAAAAAAAAGTTATTATAGAAATAAATACCAACAATAAAATGGTATCAGTGCTAGGAAAATAGAATACATAATAGGGGACAATAACACTCCAACTATCTCTACTACCATTACCTCTATTATCTCTACTACCATTACCTCTAATATCTCTACTACCATTACCTCTAATATCTCTACTACCATTACCTCTAATATCTCTACTACCATTACCTCTAATATCTCTACTACCATTACCTCTAATACTCTCTATACCCTTTACCTCTAATAATTCGACTACCATTACCTCTATACTATTCTACTACCATTACCCTCTAATTCTCTACTACCATTACTCTAATATCTCTACTACCATTACCTCTAATATCTCCTACTACCATTACCTCTAATATCTCTACTACCATTACCTCTAATATCTCTACTACCATTACCTCTAATATCTCTACTACCATTACCTCTAATACTCTACCCACCATTACCTTCTAATACTCTACACCATTACCTCTAATATCCCTACTACCATTACCCTTAATTTCCCTCTAATTCCTCTAATTCCACTATACCCTTTCACCTCTAATTTTCTCTACTACCATTACCCTAATACATTTTTTTTCCTCAATATCTCTACCACCATTACCTCTAATTTCTCTTTTCTTTCTACCATTACCATAGTAGCATTTCTACCTCTAATTCTCTACTACCATTACCACTAGTAGCATTTCTACCTCTATTATCTCTACTACCATTACCACTAGTAGCATTTCTACCTCTATTATCTCTACTACCATTACCTCTAGTAGCATTTCTACCTCTATTATCTCTACTACCATTACCACTAGTAGTATTTCTACCTCTATTATCTCTACTACCATTACCACTAGTAGCATTTCTACCTCTAATATCTCTACTACCATTACCTCTAGTAGCATTTCTACCTCTATATCCCCTACTACCATTACCCTAGTAGCATTCCCACCTCTAAAATCTCTACTACCATTACCCCTAGTAGATTTCTACCTCTATTTATCTACTACCATTTCCTCTAGTAGCATTTCTACCTTAATATCTCTACTACCATTACCAACTATACATTTTACCTCTAATATCTCTACTACCATTACCACTATAGCATTTCTACCTCTATTTTCTCTACTACTACCATTAACCACTAGTAGCATTTCTACCTCTAAAATCTCTACTACTTCCCTTACCAACTCTAAAATCTCTACTACCCCACTTAACCTCTAAAATCCTACTACCATTACCTAACATTTACCTCTAATATCTCCTACTTTCCATTACCTACCTCTAATATCTCTACTACCATTACCCTCTAATTAAAATTTTCTTCTACTATACCATTACCTCTAATATCTCTACTACCATTACCTCTAATATCTCTACTACCATTACCTTTAATATCTCTACTACTACCATTACCATAGTAGCATTTCTACCTCTAATATCTCTACTACCATACCACTAGTAGCATTTTACCTCTATTATCTCTACTACCCATTACCACTAGTAGCATTTCTCCCCCTAATATCTCTACTACCCATACCTAGTAGCATTTCTACCTGTAATATCTCTACTACCATTACCACTAGTAGCATTTCTACCTCTAATATCTCTACTAACCATTACCCTAAATTTACCTCTA